ATTGTTCCACCCTACCATTCTGAAATAAGGCCAAGATCGAAGGCCCGATGTTGAGCGAACCCAGCATTTCGAGGAACGCAAGTTCCCTTTCTCGGTCTACAAACTGGTCAACTCCAACCCCGTCCCGAGAGAGAATTTTTCGAGGTGATGCCTTCGGTGTCTCTGTCAAAGCAGTGACAAAGAAAACATTATTTGTCAAAGCACCCGAAACTTTTTTTATTTCGGCGGTATTGACATCAGACCAACCGGGCAAAACCTCCCGTAAGAAGGAGAGAATGCCATCGGTATTTTCGGGGTTTCTAACGTAATTAAGAAGGAAGATTAGAGGCAATCGAAAGAAAAGAACGGATACAGTACAGAATGAAACTTTTAAGGAAGGGAAAAGAGATATAGGAAGGCAAGTGGTAATACATAAAGTGCAATATGTAGCGATACCTACGTTAGTTCAAGCGCATTATCGCTTCGTGGGATTGCGTCTTGATAGTTTCTTTCTATACCATTCAACTGCCTTCTGTCCTTGTTCAGCTGCTCTTTGATACCATTCAGCTGCCTTTTGCCCATCTTTTTCTACTCCAGTTCCATTTGCATAGTACACACCAAGATTATATTGTGCATTGGCATATTAAGCCATTTCTCTTTTTTGGATAAAATTTTGGCTACGGTTGGGCGATTTATATTTATTATTAAAGTGTTTGGCATGGTTCAAAGTAGAATTTTGTTTCGCATATTCACAAGTTTTGCGTTTATTGTCAATACTCAAGTGAACTCTTTTTTTTTGTTGATGTTATGAGGACATTTACTATTATAATTATTCACTACAATATAATAAATTGGTTTAGCCCATGATGTTAGATAATAATTGTGATTGTGACGGGGATCCAAAATCGGGTGACTGTGACTATCACTATGATGTGACCGTATAGGAGGAAAATCATTATTATTATGAAAAAAACCGGGAACCAAATTGTGACTATGAGCCAATGTGACTGTATAGGAGGTGACTGTAAGGGGAGGTCGACTGTATTAATATAATAATGTCTGCGCGCAGACCCAATCAAACGAGTCACGTGAAAAAGAACACAAAATACCAAATAGTCGACATACATTCTTCCTTCCTGGCAATTGCACAATGACCAATATATATTGTCAGTTTCAGCTGTATAGTCTTTCCAGACATTACAAGGGAGTATGCCGCGACGAGGACTTGAAAAGGAAGGTCGAAAAGTTTTTTTCGACTTCTGGTTTCTTGTCTTCGCGCTCAAGTCTGGAATTCTACACTGGTAAAGTAAACGCTACCAATATTTCGTGCCGCGGTGAATGCAGTCGAAGCTTGACAAGCCGAGACTATATGGAATATGCAAAACAATTGCCAATATTCGGGATAGTGTTTTTTTTTTCTTTTTAACTGACCAGGTTTATTTATACCATGCAACGTTATCGTGCCATATTATAGTACATATTAACTCTACAAGAGACAAAGTTTGTTTAGACGTTTAACAGATTTGTTTTTACCATCTCATCTTTATCACCTGAAAGGCATTAATAGTGCGGATGATTTTAAGTACATGTTAATTTCCAAAGAGGCGATGGAGAAGATTCATTCTGACCTTGAAACCCTCATTTCGAAAAGTCTCCCACGTGTGAACGATAATGCCACCTACACCGACATTGAACTTATTCATATCGAGAACCCATCCGCTTATAGTCAATTGCTTAAAGCGCTAAAGAAATATAACAAGTCTGCCAAGACGGCTAAGAAATTACGCGAACTGCGTGACGCCTATGAAAAGGCACGCGAACTGTATAACGAAAAAAAATATCTATTCATTTCAGTAGACGTAGAAAGTTACGAGAGAGATCATTCTTGTATTTTGGAGGTCGGCTGGAGTATTTATGACGCAAGAAAAGACAAGTCTGACGACCCAGAAAGTAAACCATATCTGGATAGACACTTTTGCGCTACCGAATATAGACATCTGAAGAACGGGAAGTTTGTGCCCGATATGAAGGATAAATATATGTTTGGGGAAACGGTCTGGGCCAACTTGAACAGTATAGCCGATCAGCTTCGGGGAGATCTTAATGAAACTGAAAAGGGTACCGTTGTCTTCGTTGGACATGACACGAAGACTGACGTAAAGTATTTGGAGAGCATTGGTATTTTTGTGGAGAGGGATATCGAACCAGCTGGAACTTTTGATACAGCCGAGATGTATGCTGCTAGAACTGGGAAAGCAACCGAAAGAATGAATCTCGGAAGAACTTGCGATGAGATGAACATTGAGAACTATTGTCTACATAATGCCGGTTAGTCTGATGAGTACTTGTGAGTGCTCGAGTGTAGTGTAATGCTTGCTAAATACTATCTTTTTGTATTTTTTTAGGAAACGACGCGCATTATACCCTGCTGTTGTTCATTGAATTATGCAGACAAACTCTTCCTGACATTGATCTATCAAATCTTAACACGACACCGTCGACTTCCCAAGTCACTTAGTAGGTTTTTAGGATTATTTTGCGTGCTATTTTTGGTATAATCTCTTATTGACAACGATTTGTTATAGCGAGGTTATCTAGGACAGAGCAGGATGATGCTCGAAAGAAATGACAAATTTAATTATCATTAATTCGACCAATAGCATATAAACAAATAAAAATACCGCTAAGGTATTCATCTACATGTCTTTGAAAAAATATAAGCGTACGCTGTTCATAATTATAATTGCGGAAACTGTATCAACATATTACGTAAAACGGAATGTTGTACGAATTTCTTAAATTGTAACCGGCTGATCTAGACGAAGCATAATTGCTATTGACCATACTTTCTCAACGAACGACTTGTTTGCTTAACATTTAAATATGACCTCTCTGCTAAAGTCCGATGCCGGGTCACCCGATACTAGGGCATCTCCGCTTGACCTCTTCCCGATCGAAATCTGGTCTCAAATAGTCATCCACCTGGACATCGATACTCTTACTACCCTCCGCAAGACAAGTATCGTCTTCCGTAAAGTTGCTTTGAATCCTCTCCTCAGTCTACTTGTACAGACACCTTGTCTATCACCTCTTTATCAGGTCACCCGAGTGGTAAATCCTGAGCTCCCTCTTCGGGATGTTGTCTTGCGTATGCATAAGCACATAGATGAAGTTATAGCGGACAAATTAGGGGATGAACCGCCGAAATGGACAGATGATGTGGTTGAATGGGAGAAGTATGATTCTGAGAAGCCTTATTGGGTGAATTCAGAAGACTTTAGGAAAGAGGTGGGGAGGCGAGGAAAGGCACGTTCAAGAGTATATGTGGAATGGGAGTGTCAGGTGGAGAACGAGAGGAAAACGTTGAGGAGAGAGGTTGCTAAGGTTTGGACATGTCAGAGCAAATATTTTCCATTTAGGTATGATAATTGAATTAGTAGGGAAGACAATTAGCGTAGAAAATATTAAGTACAGGAATTTAGCGATTGCTCTGCGATTTTGTTACTAACATTTCTCCATCGATTATCAAGAATCCAGTTAACATGTTGTTAATTATTCTCAACTTTACCATCATCGCACCAGTAAAGATGAAAACAGAGAATGGAAGAAGCGAAGAGAGGCCAATGGAATTTCATCTAGCGTGCCAACAAAGTCCAAACCAAATTCAAAGCCCTCTCCAACTAAAAACGCTCCCGAATCACAGTGGCTCTTCTCTCACCAAATCCGAAACAAATCCAAGCCTAAACGGCTCAACATTGGCAGGGGTGAAGAAGAGTTTCACCGTAAAATTCTCGCTCGATATGAAACCCCGCAGAAATATTTCGAGACGGAAGACGATGAATCGAGCGATGATACAGAGATTAGGAGTAAGAAGGAACGGCGATATGGCGAATTGAATTCTACAGAGAAAATGGTGTTTGCGCTTACGAGGTTTTATGAGAGTCATGATAAAGTATTAAAGTTTTCGCCAAAATTGAGTTCGTATCAGAGAAAGGAGTTGCATAAGCAAGCTAATGTGTTTGGACTGAGAAGTATGAGTTTTGGAGAAGGCGAGGGCAGGTTTTTGGTTATCCTTCGAAAAGATGTAAAATTATTTGATTAATCATTTTTGTGGTATTGAATTGTAAATACTATTATCAGAGAGAAGTAATGACGAATCTTCTATCACACAACGTGAACAACAGCAAAAATAACGATAACAAACTTTTTATTGTAATCAACGTTAAATTACGTATTTTTTTTTTTTGGTTATTAATATTTATAGTAATCTGACACTTACATAAAAAAACTCATCGATGTTGCAAGTAATGATTGACGACACTGGTCTGTTAAAAATGTACTGTAGTGGGACTTGGGAGCCCACCCCGTTACGTTCTTGGACATATTGTGTAGTCGATCAATGTATTGGTCTTTTGAAATAATTTTGATAGGAATTACCGACATGCGACAAAACCGATGACTTTACGACGCGTGATTATTGTCCGTTCAGCTTTGATGGTAGTCGTTAGGGCCACCTGATTTTAAGGAGCGTAATCAATAACATGGGTTGGGTATTCCCTCAACAATCATGTGTAGTAGTAGATACACATACAGCCGTGACCTCCAATTGATCTCTGATCATCGGAGGTCCCGTGACTGTTGCGCGTACGCGCGTCGAGCAGAGCCAGATATATGAAAACCTTTTAACCGGACAGTTTATCAACGTGTGTTTCCTTCGCTTTATGAAATATATTTTAATCTATACCAAGCGCTTCTTTCTTCGACTAATCAACATGTCTGCTAACTTACAAACTAAAATCCACGACTTTTTGATCAATGCCGAAGAGCGCAATATAGAAATGCTACCGCCGTTGTCCACCAAGGCTTAGAAGAAAACCCCTGGATTCTGAAAAACGAGTTGAGAATAATTGTAGACCGAGTCGTTAATTATGTTAGCAATCTGTATCCGAACGGGTCTTCGCGCCAACAAAAGCTTTTTAGGATTCATTCGCAGGTATTGAGTCACAAAGTAGCTAGTAAAAAAGCTACCGAAAACAGCCCATTTACCTCGTTAATCTACTACCGATAGACACTTGCTCGTCAGCAGAGGGATATCTAAGCTATAGACTGTCATGCAGTAATGTAGTTTATCCTACTAACCTACTGCGAGCAAATTTATCGCCTGCTGGATGGTATTGAGAGCTGTAGAAAGTTAGTGCCACACAGAGTTTTATTGTGTGATGGCCGTACAAAATTGATATTAACATGTACTGATAATAGTAATATATATAATATATATGCATTTACATTTTTTAGTTTGAAGACGCTTTTGAAGGTGTATGTACGTTATACGAACTTGGGGGTTGTAAAAACAAATAAGGAAAAGCCGCTTAACTTGGACCAAATCAGGGATAGTCTGAATGAGCTAGAACGAAAATTCAAAGAAAATACGAGCCCCCTATATGAGCATTTATAGTGTGGGATCACTTAGCAGTATTATCATATATTTTCCGTGACGATAATGTCGCGCAATAAAAAATTTGCACGCTTATAATTAATTTGCCAAAAGTATTTACACTCACCGGCAAAAAGTATCGACAAAATCTAAATGTTACACAGATATTCGTCAGACTTGATAATCTTCGAACTG